ATTGACGTCCTGTTCTCTTATTAGGATGGGATGTGATGAGAACATTCAGTCTCTGTGATAGTCTTCTTCCCCCAAATCCATAACCCCCGGTGTAACCATTTAAGGAAAAAAAATCAGATAAGCTCAATCTAGGGAATGTCCTACAGGTGACCTGGCTTGTATTCCTAAAGACTGTCAAGGTCATGATAAATAAGGAAAGACTGAGAAACTGCCACAGACCAGAGGAGACTGGGGAGGTGTGAGGATTAGAGGCAATGGCAGGACCCTGGACAAGATTTGCAAGCAGAGATATGACACTGATGGAAAAATTGGTGAAATCCAAAAGAAGTCAAGTTCAGTCAGCAGTAATGCACCAGTGTCGGTTCCTCAGGCCTGACAAACACCACAGCCATGTAAGATGCTAATGCACAGAACAGGAGAAATCGGGTCAGGGCTGTCCAGGACTCTCTTGTACCATCTTTGCAGCTGTTCCATTTATTAACTGTTTATTTTTTAATCCTGAAAGAAAGGTTACTAGTGAATGGTATTCACCAAAAAAAAAATGCTCAGAAGTTGTTCTGAAGTTGCCCTAAAATTAGTGATTCCATTCTCTCAGCCCTGTCCCCGTGGACGGTCCTAGGAGGTTTGTTTTTCCTCCATGCAGAGGCCCTTAAGAAAGTGATTTGTCGCAAGGTATTAGTTGCCACTTGTCAACTTCAGAATCAGGACCTGAGCAGCATACAGATGCTACAATTCATACTCGACTGCTACATGCTTGCCAAACAGAACTTTAAGATTCATACCCACATTCCTGTGACTCCTCCAGCTGTCGCATTGGTACTTAATTCTAATCTGATCTGACTGGCATTTACCATTCAGAATGGCAACATGCTGCTCTCAGGGTCCTAAGACAGCCTGAAGTGACTCTTGGACAAAGCAGAAATACTCGAAGAGGCCACAAAGTAACATCCATGGAAAAATGTGAAAAAAAGTGGAAAATATTGGCTATTACCTCAGAATTTTCTTCCTTCAGCAGGTGCTGTTTTCTGTTCCCTGCTTGGAACACTCCTTTCCAGGCTGTTTGCATGGCCAGCTCCTTGTCACTCATTACGTTCAACCCAAATCCTCCCCAGCCCCGAGAGCTTGCGATCTTGCTGGCCTCTAATCAGGCATTGTTCTCCAGTCCCTGTGGTTTCTTCCTGGCACTCACAAGTTAGAATAGCTTCCCTTCTTAGTTCAATTATTTATTGTATGTTGTTTCCAAGGGCAGAGACTGGGTCTGTTTCATCCCCTGAGCTGAGTAAAATTCCTGACTCAAAGACAGAGTCCCTGTAATTATGACCAAATGAATGAGAAACTGGAACACTTTCATGAGACTAATATGCAGGATGATTTTTCTCCCCTCGAGCCCCACCTCGGGCTCTGAAAATCTATGCGTATTCTAAGTCTCTTCATGCCCTATTTACCATAATTCAACCTGAAAATGCAGCACTCATATTTTTCTTCCTTTGGACAATTCCAAGAACATTTATAAGTCAGTGAAAAGCCAGAGGAAATAGTTTTTTTTTTTTTTCTTCTCTTTTTAACATTTGGGAAACTGTATTCAGAACAGATTTTGGTGAAAGCACAGACCACATCCTATCAGTCCGTGACTTTCCACCCCCACTGCGAGTGGAAGGACAGTCATGGAGAAAAGAGTTAATTCTCCCTCCCTGCATGGCGGGGAGGGGGGGAGCAGAAACCTCCCCTTCTCCCATTTCTATCACAGCTTCTCGTGCTGTGGCCCTAACTGGCTGCTTTCTGCCATTCGGCACTTACCTGGTCCGTCCCCTCCTGCTGTCACTGTGCATTCTTTTCACTGGCACAGTCATCCTACAGAGGTACCTTTGTCCCCTAAGTGCCCATGGGCACTGCTACAACTCAGTCACCGGCGGGCAGGCCACACCCTGGACCTTCTCATTTCTCCACCATTCCAGACATGAAGCTCTTCCTCTCTGACTCTTTTGCCTCCTCCTCTCCCTTCGCTCCTTTTTTTTTTCTTTTGAGACCAAGCCTCAAGCTATCCCCCTGGGTAGAGTGCTGTGGCATCACAGCTCACAGCAACCTCCAATTCCTGGGCTCAAACGAGTCTCCTGCCTCAGCCTCCCAAGGAACTGGGACTACAGGCGCCCGCCACAATGCCTGGCTGTTATTTTGGTTGCAGCCATTATTGTTGTTTGGCGGGCCCGGGCTGGATTTGAACCCGCCACCTTAGGTGTATGTGGCTCGCGCCTTAGCCACTGGAACCACAGGCACCGAGCCAGAGGGGATGATTGATAATTAATCTCTCTTTCTCTATTCCCCGCAGCTCTTCCACTGTTTGTTGTTTCATTTTCCTACTCCTACTGCTTGGGACTAAAGAAAAATAAGCAAGTCTTTTTAAAAAAACTGAAT